CGGATGTGCCAAGCCCAGCCCCCTGACACGCCACACGCCATGGGCGCCGAAGTTAGCCCCTGACACGCCCAGGCATCCTTAACGAGCAAGACTTTTTGCGCTTTGCGGGGTGAATTTTGGATTCCCTGGTGGAAAGTCTGTAGACTGGCACGTTTTCCTCAATCTTTCCCTACGTGCACGATGCTTTTGTATATGTCGTACTCGGTCGCTGGAATGGGGTAGTATTCGCCCTTGAAAATTTTTTCTGATTGGTAAAACTTCGAGCTATGGCGCACGATACTAACATCGCCCTACCTCTCCCTCCTCGTTGAGTTGATGGTATAGCAAAACCGATTATTTGTTAGATGATCTTATTTGTCCAACCCCTCATCCGTACCCCTCCACTCGACGGCAAAATGGGAAAATTTGGTAAAATGGTAGGTGGACATGAGAGGAGGTCGTACCGAGACGCTCCACCCATCCCCACAGTATTAATCTGCTTCTATCCGTATTTTTAGCATACTATGAGTCCCATGATGTCGATGCTTTCTTTCATCATAACTCTTGTAATTTTCTGTCTCTTTCCTATTCCATTACTCCTTCTTTTATCTTTATTTTCCTGGAGTTTTAACTACGTTTTTCCTCCGCACATTTTCAATTTTCGCTGCTTAGAAGCGCAGCCAGCGCCTTTTGGTGAATGGAGAAAATCAACCAATCATGCGGCCACTCTTATTTGTGCTGCCTCCCTTTTCTTAGAGGAACCGACGAAGCGCACCAATCAACAAGAGAGATTCTTGATTGCTCCGCCCATGTCTCCATCCTTACGATTATCGTGAACTGTGCCTTCAACTCTTTGCTGCATCATTATGCTCTGTGCTTTCTAGGCTCTCGCACATTGTCCGTACCCGGACAGCGGGTGTCGTCGTCACACGATTGTAGTTGCTAGTGAAAAAAACTGGTGCACAATATCGGCGACAATGACGATCAGCTATTCGGACACATTCGTAAGACTGTTGTTTCGGTGGAAAGGTTCACTATGGAAAGCGATATGGCGACATTTACTCGTATTTCTATTTCTTTACTATGCATCAATGGGAGTTTATTCGGTAGAGTTCTGCTATCAGTGCATGCTACAAGTCATCTTTCCCTAAATGTAGGGAGGTTGTAAAGAGGCAGTAATTTGGACATAGCAGAACAGCCCTTTCACAATTGTTGTGGACAAGGATGGCACCATTAAAGGAAGGTTCCCTTCCAGCTCATCGGCTCGCGGGCAGACACTCTGTCGTTTGCAAGGATTATGAAGCAAGGGGAGAAGGTTCGACTCAATGGTCAGCCTAATCGAGCTATGATTGGGCAATCTAGTGCAGAGGATGTTTCGCCCACATCCCTAGGAACCGTGATTGGCTCGTGTTACCGAGCGTCATCGGCATAGGATGAGGTATGTTTGATGTTAGCGGCCGTGCTATCAATATACGAAGAATCGCAAATTAAGCTCATTCATGCGGAATGGAGATTTATATTGCGGGGGCATTTTGGTCTCGGTGGAGGATTTCACTAGTCCCATCGATCGCTGCCGGTATGTCCTTTAAAGACCTGTAAATTTCGGTAAAGCTGTGCAGTGGGCAGGGCTTCGTTATGGAGTTCAAGTTGACCAAACGAGTCGTGTCCCAGGAAACTTGCTAAGAAAGCTAGAAAAGTTGCAAAAGCACCCCCCTCGTTTATGGCGGAAAACGCCGTTCATTTACAATAGGTAACCGAGAGGGAAAGGGTCGGGGTCGTTAGGCCCAGTTAGGAAAACTACAGTTGTGTATACCTGAGATAAGTCAAGGGACCTAACATTGACGATGCCCACGCAACTGTGCCAGGACAAACAGTGAGATTTTCAGGCAGTCGTCTGCGTCTCTGTGCACCTCTCCAGTGTCCAGGCAATTTTAGAGTGGAGCAACTATTTTTTTCAGGTTTATAATGACACAAAAGCAGCAAGAGATGTTCGTTAAATACGTAATATTGTTTGACAGTTGGACGAAAGAGATCCCGTTAACGTTTCTTCTAGGTTTCTATGTGGCTATGATTATTCGAAGGTTAGTTACTCGAAAACTAGAAAGTATTTTCCTGTATCACCGGCCAGTGTCTATATCGAAAAATAACTACTTTGGCCTACCCAAGGACCTATTGCAGGTGGTGGGATTGCTGCCAGTTGATTAGCTGGCCTGATCATCTCCTCTACAACGTCTCAGCATTGATACGAGGAAATGATGTGAGTTTTTTCGGCATCTATAGCTTGGTTCGCTGTGGATCATGGGGCGAGTCCACGCGGTAGCGTTTGGCCCACTGTCAAATCCAACCTCCACGCCCTCGCGCCAAATGCAGCCGCGCTGACACGCCCCATCATTCCCAGCGAACCAGACTATACCGTAGGAAAAATCGATTCAGCTACCTATGACGATGTTCTAAATTTTAGCCAGAAACGCGTATCATTCGAAGGACGATAGCCCGATACGCCATATTGTCATCGGTACTGGCATGGCGAAGCATATCGTTACGGGTTCTTGCGAGGTATTCTTCTGCTTACTTATCATAGGGCCACTATGTATGATATGATTATGTGATAGTTGCGCCACTTACCACCATGGGCGAAGTCCCAGATGGAATCCTTCCAAGTCAATTAGATAGGCCATTCATCCCCAACGTTGCGTTAGCTGATAGGAGGTAATGGACGGTACAACAAATCACTGCGCTGAGGAGGGGGGGCAGATGGCTGCTGGCTTTGCATAAATTCATAGTCACTGTGGCCCTGAAGGGCCCCTGTTCTCGGCGCGATTGTGTATCTTCCCCTGTTCTTGGCGCGATTCTGTATATTCAGCTCCGTGAGTCCTGGGCCTTGACTTGTGAGGGGACTATGGGTCCGTGGCTGCACTAGCGTTCTTTTTTGTCGGTCAAAATGCACGGGATAGCGGCAGGAAGCTGTGTATGCCATATTCCCAGAGTCGCTCCAGACTCCACCCGCGCTGCCGCAGGTGCCTAGCTATTGTCAAAAGCGCTATTTATCTGCTCCTCTGACCTTGTTCTCTACCGCTGAGTGTGTGTTTCGCTGCGCAACCTCGGTATCAACGAAAGTACTCCACCTTGAAATAGCGCGGGGGAAGTATGGAAGATCAGTACTAAGGTACCAAACTACCCCTAAACTGGGCGTTTCCGGTGCCACTTTCGCATGGAAAAATAACAAGGCTAAGCTTCTACAGCTGCAGACCTTACTCGTCTCGCGACGAGACGTTTGTCCGCTCGCGAGAGGCGAGTGAATTAGTGAGACGTGTACGGCTTGTCCAGTTGGCACACGATAAATCCCCCAAGACGAGTAGGATCAATACGCCTGGCAGGACGGAATTCCGCGACCCTGAGCAGGCGCTGCATAATGCCTTTTCCAAGGAAGGTGCCCTTATAAGGGCCCTATCAAGCCACAACATTACGACCCAAACGCCCGCGCCCGCCCGCCCATAAATGGACGACCGTTCCTGACGCTCTAATCGATTCAATTGCTAAGCAAAATTATGGAGCAAAGGATTGGCTATGAAGCGGCGTGATGCTTGCAATAGATACATGAGCTAACTCATTGCCGTACCATCGGTGGCGGTTATTGACAGGATGCCTACGGGAAACTCGTCCAAAATTGATTTTGAACATTTTAATAACGGAGGCTCTTTCTTTCGCAAGATTTTGACCGTTTCACTCCCATTCTTTCCATTTCCCCACTACATAGCGGCCCTACTAGCATTTTAGAACGAGCACCAAATCATCGTGCCAACTGCCTATAAGCAGGAGTCAAGGATGCCGAGTGGCTTCCACGTGTTTGTTTGTACTCATGATCCATAGAAACCCCTCCTCATGGGACTGTATAGCTTGATATCAGACTCACAATGACACACTTGATACTAGAATGACAAGGAGTGGCCAAAATCACTGACAGCAGGACCGACTGGGAAGCTTTTGTAAGTACGAAGTGACAGCTGCATTACGGCAACATTGTTTTCGTGAAACACGACATGCGCCAGCCGTATCGAACTAGATTTTCATTGATGCTAAACTTCTGACTCACTGGCGGAAGGTCGCTCAGGTCGAAGTGGCCATTTGTAAATGGAGGCGTAGCTCACGGAAGACTGGCGCTGGCGACCATCCCTAGTCAGTTCTGTCATGTATTTCAGGTATCCAACAGATGAACATCTCCTTGACTCGGGTTTGATAAATAAAGAAGAGTTGGCGTTGTTCAAGACTATTCACGTGCGTGTCGATCCCCATCAGGTAAAACTATGCTACAGCCTACCCTAAAAAACAGGGCTGCAGGCAAAACGGATGAATGAAATGATAGGGCTCCGCGCGACCTTTTGATGGCTCCAGGCAATGTTGTGCCGTGCGTAAAAAAAACACCTACTTAATAGCGTTACGATGTTCTGGCAACCAATGATTTCTAATAACAAAGGTTCATAATAGCTGCTCCCAAAATTAACCGTTTCAGTAGCCGTCGCTTCTGCTTCGGGGTGTATTACTCATAAATGAAGGCAAAGTTAACTGTGAGGGGTAGAAGAGCAGGTGGTCCATTTTACTGCCATAGCGACATTGCAAATGATGTCACGTTAGCGACATTTGCACGAGATCTAAATGGTGCTGGGCAAGAGACTGCGATGCATACACTTGTCCTTTCAACCATGAGGAACATTGATTGACATTGAGAGGGGTTCACTGAGCAGTCCGAGGCTCTTACGATTGCGACATCTTTCACAGGCTGTTCTGATTTGATATTTCTGTTTGTGTAATTGAAAATGGTCCATCAGGCGAACTGGGCTCTAAGTTTAGTCTTTCAGTTAACACGGTTGAAAACGTTTTCAGGAATAAGATACTTATAACAAGTCGGATTACTACTAACTCTCTTTAGCGTTTAATATCCGCCAGTTGATCCCGAACAATTGGAAAAAACACTAACCCTATCTTTCACTAGTTTATAATAACCTCGTCAAGAGAGAGAGTAAAAACATCATACCAACTATTTTTTTATGATAACTGCTGTTTAATACAGCGGTTACCAGAAAAATGCTGACTTATGAGAAAAGGTCAGACTCATGATGGGACTCCTAAACCCAGCACTCGGTTTACGGAGGTTACGCGAACGCGGCTAGCCCGTTGCGCCATCAGGGCTTGTTTCGTCGCTCTCAGCTGGCTCTTTGTGCCAAAGAGCCCGTTAGGCTAGCTTAAACTTTTGGATGAATGAGCCCGTTGAGAATATCGTCAGTGAAACCTCAAAGACGAAGGCTGCTGCAAGGAAGATCGATTCTTTGAAAGGTGTGCAAAAAGGCAAATGAGCTGACCACTTTAGTAGGAGTGCAGAGTGGGCCTCAATAGGAAGTGAGAGAGGAGAGCGGTCTGGGAGGATTAATTGGGGATAATGGATACGCGAATCCTCTCCGTAGCACAGCGTGCGCGGTTAGTACCAGCACAGGTGCGGGTTCAAGTTCCACCCAGGGTCTGACTTTCGGTCATGACTCTGCATTCTTGATAGCTAGCTAGCTAGTTTGTTCACGCCGCACCAACGTGAATTTTCTAACCCGCACCCGAGACGATGGGCGTATAGAATCGCCAAAGCTGCACAGTAACCGTCATGCAGTCGATGCGCATCTATGCAAGAGGAGTCGTCACGGGAGGCCTCTGTCTACCGTAACGCTGAAGCTGTGATGATCATCGACAAGGTGATTTGTGTGGGGCGGTCGAGAAGTTAACGACCGGCTGTTAAAGAGCTTCATTTCTCCGGTAGAACCTAGCATTCAAACTCTTCCAATTGACTTCGAACTGCCAACAGCCCCAAAAACCCTAATTGGATGGTAATATATGTATCGTTGGAATTTTATCGGTACGTTTAACGTTTCATTGTAAAAACTCAAACTTCTTGTACCGCTTTACAGAAATGGTTTGTGCCGATCAATTGGATTCAAACGATGATGGTCCGCTGCTTTGAGAAAGGAACTTTGGGTCATACAAACGAACTACGTGTGCTACTGGATGCTCTTGAAAAGTATCGAAATGGTTTCTTCCAGTTGTTCATTTATGATTGGATCGCCATTCCACTGGTTTACACCCAGGTTTGTGGCACTCTATTTGACCCACTATTAATGCTATACATATTTCATGTCGTCGCTGCAAATACTGCTCACCCAGTTAGATACTTTCCGGCGTCGTTTCGCGCGACTTTTTCTGTACGATTGGATCGTGATTCCACTCGTACACACCCAGGTGCGTGGCGTACTTCCCTCCTGTCTGCACCCACGCACGTATTACCTTTGTCCTTTTGTTCGTTAGGAAGATGTGGTGTAGTGAGAATCGTAGTGCTAATCAAATACTTGGCGCGTTGTACGATTTGAAGGCACCATCCAGAATTTCTTGAAAACTGGAGTCCTACCACGTTAGATGAGATCTCATTTTCTCGGGATACACACGCGAGTCAGAAATGTCAGCCATGTGTGAAAATGTGGTGGTCCTCTGTTTCAGAACATAGCTCGTCTCACGTTTTTTTGAGTAGCTCTTTGTCACACATTTTTAAGAACGGAATTGGGTATAGGTCTGTTAAGAGGACGAGGCGAAGGGTGGGTCAGATGGGAGGGAAGAAGCGCCCTGCCTTATCGAGACGTTGTTGCGTTGTTAAATTGCGATGCACGGTTGTCATGAGGGGGTATGTGACAGGAGAATCGTAATTCACTGCGCTGATGAACGTCGTGTGCGACGTCGCGCAGACAGCGTATGTGCCGACGTCGCGCTGCTCAAATGACGACGGTTCCAGGCAGTAGATGGCGACAACAGGCAATTTAGAACCGAAAACAGTCATAATGTCTACGATGACGGGGTCTACATGAAGTCCGGTGCTCCAATCGACAGGTTAACACGAGTTAAGAAAACGCCGCGCCCATCGCTGCGCGCGGTGGAGCGCAAAATTACG